CCAATGAGCAAATTGACATTTTGCTAACATCGGCCAACATCGGCCAACATTGGCCCAATGTCGCATTCATTTGACCAATGTTGGCGCAACGTTGGGCCAATATCTGCAGAAATAACTATCTACATTGGGCAAACGTTGGCCCAACATATCGGGCCAACATTGGGCCGATGAGCAAACTAACGTTTGGCCAATGTCATTTGCCAGCATTGGCCCAATGTAACCGATGACATTGGCTCAACGTTGGCCCAATGTTAGCATACCATCTGGGAAGCGCACTAAGACAATCGCGAGGGACGGACCAAAACAACCTCCTGACGTCTGCCCAGTGCTCAATAAATCTAGTGATCCTCTCTCCGAATCGGAGACCTCACTTCTTTCCAAGGGGCTGAATTTCTGCCCCACGCCACGTGCGGTCGACGAAAAACAAGTCAGAGAGGACACCCGAGCATTCTTCAGGAGACTTCGTTAGAAGGAGCACTTTTCTAGAAAAGACTCCGAAGTAAATTCATACGACTCTTCCAAGCCAGATTTACACAATCTAGAGGAACACAAACTCTATAGGCCTTATGAGAGCTTAAATCCTTTTGACTGTAGACCAGGACAATTCTATCTGCTTCCTAAAATACACAAAGAAAGCATGCAAGGTTGCCCCATAGTCAGCGCAATTGGACACCCCAACGGAGAAAATTTCTGAATTCATTGATTTACATTTCCGTCCACACGTAGAGAATTTGCCATCCTATCTCAAGGACACCACGGACTACATTAACAAGACGCCCTCTACTGGCCTCCCAGAACATATAATGGCGGGACACGACAGGCAAAACCTATTACGCTACAAGGAGAAAGACAATAGCGGTAGGGTCCATCTGGTAACCACACACCATCCCGTATTTAAAACCTAAGCGGTATCCTTCAAAAGAACCTACCAATTCTCCATTCAAACAAACGAATAGCAGAAGTCTTTAAGGAACCCCCATTGGCTGCATACAGACGCCCTAGGAACCTAAAAGACATGGTAGTAAGAACCAAATTGGACAACCCATTACCTAACGGGGGATTTAAAACTTGCTCTGACAGAAGATGTCTTCTTTGTAAGCACAGCACTGACACAGACAGTTTTAACAGCCCTGTTACAGGCCGCAGCTACAAAATACTACGAAAATTGTCCTGTCATACTGACAACTGCATTTATCTCATCAGTTGCAAAGTTTGCTCCAAACAGTATATTCATTTGGTGAAACAGGAGATCTCCGCAGGAGAATCAATAACCACCGTTCGTCCATTAGAACCAAAAAACTCAATGAACCCGTTGGGAAATATTTCAACCTTGAGAGTCACAAATGGGAGGACATGACAGTAGTGGTGATTGACCATAACCCAATATGGACAGACGTTCAGAGAAAAAGCAAAGAAAAGTTCTGGATGCACAGATTGAAGCCATTCCGTCCCAATGGTATTAACAAACTGAATGACTTCACCAGAATGAACGTAAACTAGACCCGATTCCTGATGATACCAAACAAGTTTATTCTCTCAATTTAGTGTAAACTCTACAGTTAATTTGCGTCACCAACTCTCGAACAACCCACATAACTATGTATTGCTTACGCCTTTGTTAATTAATTATTAATCATTTTCTACCGATAATTAGTCCTAAATCATTTCAAATTAAAATTCATAATAGATTATAATTCATATGTTCAAATTCCCCTTCTATATTATTTTTCTTTGTCAAGAATAGTAACGCCATTTTGAGAGAATGAAACAATGTACGATTTACTGATTGTCGTAATCAATTAGCATAATTAATTCGTTCAATTATGTAAATCGCACTTCACCCGAGTATACCCGATAGACTGGACGCATTTCATAGCGGTTGGGATTTTTTCTTTAATAGTGTTCTTAAAGATTTCCAAATCAACATGTAACTAAGTATGTAAATATATAGTGTTTAGTAGTTAAGTAGTTGTGCTAGTTGTTTTTTATTTCTCTTTTTCCTTTGTTCTTATGACTTTTTAACTTTTTGAGGAAGGGACAGGGCGTCCCGAAAATTTGACAATTTTTATCGTTCGTGTCGTTGGTCATTTTTAGTGCTTTATGTATATATATATATATATATATATATATATATATATATATATATATATATATATATATGTGTGTGTGTGTGTGTGTGTGTGTGTGTGTGTGTGTGTGTGTGTGTGTGTGTGTGTGTGTGTGTGTGTGTGTGTGTATGTTATACATGTTATTTTGAGCTTATTTCAAATTTCTTGAAAGAAATTTAAAAAATACGATTGAAATCGACCACGAAATCTTCAAGCAACCCTCGTTGTAGAGGTGAAGCCAGGCCCCATGTTTGTATTCTAATAGTTACTTTTGCCTTTACACAATGCAAGGTATAAACGACTTCACATATGAAAGGACAAGATAGGGTAAAACCAGTATCCCCCCCGCCGTCATAAAACGAGTATTGGTTCTAAGATATAGAAAATACAGTCTTCACATAAAACAAATCAAAAGGAGGCAACTATTTATCTCTCTCTGTTTTGCGTTACTCCTCTAAATGTTACAGGTCCAAGGGAAAGATTTGCAAGACCAAGCTATTGAAGAAAAGTCTTGTCTATTTTCTAATGATACCTTTTTTTTTTAATTTGTATGTCGTAGGACTATACAATAACACTTTAAAGAATAATAAAATCCTAATTGTACTAGCTAAGGAAATTCATGAAACAACATTGTAAATGCGTCCAATGATTTTATTAATTAGGGTGATGATAACTGGTAAGCAATAACAAACGATGATGTATGACATTGAAACTGACGTTGAAGGACAACTAACGTAGAAAGTATTACCATGGATAGATATAATGTATGGTTACAAATGATGCTGACGTGGAAATGTGACATTAACGTTTAAGTACAAAAAATACAAACGAAAAATACTATAAATACAAGATAGTTCAAGTAAGTTACACATGATGTACTACATGTCTTAGAAAATAAAAAAAAAAGAAAAAAAAAATGAAATACAAATTTTCTATAAAATCTTTAAAGTTTAGACAAAATGATATGATCAGCATTCAAATGTATGCAGATGTACGCGTGTACAGTGATGAAATGACCGATTTACTTCATATATGCGTAATGTATATATCATTTTCCTTAAGAATTGTTTTGAATACATGTATTAGAATGTAAGGATATATAAGCAGTCTAAACAAAATTTGATCATGTGTTGTAGATTTTGAACTCCCAAATGCAAAATATGCTGTCATAATCAAGCGAGGATCTCTGCAAATGTATAAATCAATTTGGAATATTATATTCGTTGAAACCGCTTTTCATGACACTGTAAAGTCATATAAACAAGGCGGGTTTAAGTCCTTACTCAGCTCCAGGGAATCTCATCAAAATAAGTGTATGAGGTAGGAGAAGCGGAGATTGAAACACAATGACGTTGTCAGACGTCATGAAACTAAACAGCAACAGCGCCGGTTGATCATATAATGTCTTTTTTTATAATAATTTGGAAAACGTTGAACGTATCAAGCTAAAAAATTCAACATTTCTTTATTTGTTGTTGTCTTACACCTGTATGTTCCATATAAATTTTTCAAAGCACAGACTACATATTACTAAGTTTAAAGCCTAGCTCAGTCCGCTTAATTTTTTGCTAATTCCTCGTATCTATACCAGATATATATATATATATATATATATATATATATATATATATATATATATATAAATATATATATAAAGCACAAATTACAACAACTCTTAAACTAATATAACTGCCCTAAGTGAAGGAATATTAATATAGAAAGCACAGAGAAATTCACTTTTACAAGGATACTCACTTCCGCCCCAGCCCGGGGTTGAACTCGCGACCTACGGAATCTGTCTCCTAGCAGTATAGGAACAGCGCGTTAGACCGCTCGGCTATCTAGGCAAGTTAAAAAACTTGCTTTCGATGCCGATGGAATTCTCACAACGCTGCCCTACACTACACGGTCATTGAGAATGGAAGTGAGATACAGATATACAGATATATATATATATATATATATATATATATATATATATATATATATATATATATATATATATATATATATATATATATATATATTATGTATTTCATCTATATATCGGTCGCTGATTCTGAAGCAATAGTCAAATTTCGTCAGTTTTTGAAATAAAAGCAAGAAGGCATATTTAAATTCCCGAATTGTAAACCTTTTTTAAATCAATCCAAATCTTTGGACATAATGTGTTAATGAAGTATGACTTTGGATACTGGTCACAAAAACTGGTTTACTAGGTTTGTGAAACAGATTTGAATGCGTTTCTCTTAAGAAGAGTAATGTTACATATTACAGATTGTATAATTGAGCTGTCATCATTTAGAGAAGCGTTTACTTTATTCAAGAAAATTATTCCTCCTACACGGATTTCTAGGCAAGTCAAACTTTTGAGAGGTACTGTGTTTTGTCGATTAGTTCATAAATTTGAGGAATTGCTAGACTTTAAAATGTTAAAAATAGAATTTTTTGGCACAGTTTGGTTCATTCTTCTCCTTTCACATATACAGTTAGGTAAATTTCAATAAAATACAGCGTCCAGTCTAAAGAGCAAAAATTACATACTTGCGCACTTGTATCTCAAATACTTTAAGGAGTGTAGCGGAGGCATAATTCAATGAGAAATGGATGAAAACATAGAAAATCTTCTTAAAATAAAGATAAAGATGTTTCTCATTTTTTGTATTTGAGGTAAAATAAGTATTAAATGAAAGTATATATATCAATGATTAAGTGCATGCAAAAATCAAAGTAAGATATTTAATTTGTTGTCAGTTTACGGGGAGTCGTATGACACATCGTACTTTTACATGAGTTACCTCAAAATGTTCTCAGAATCTTTCTTTTTCAAGTTTCCTACGAATACAGTTGCCAGCAGAATATGAACTTCCAACGTTGTTAGGATTTGTTTATTTACTGTATTTCACATCTCAAATATTTTCTGTTCCTTTCTGAGCGTTCAAAAGCAAAATCATTCGTACTTCGTGAATATATTTCTGAATCGTAAGGGATCTTCACCACTTCAGATCTTGTTTTGTATAATTCCTGGCTGCTAGTTTTTAACTGTTTTCCACTTTGAGGTTTTTCATTCATATATTCGTTAAATCGATCTTTTTCTTTATTCACTAATTCGTTTATCTCTGATTTCATTATACTTTCGTAATGTACATTACTTGATCTCTCATTCAGTGTTTTACCATGTTCAATAAATTCCTCTACAACTGGCTGTTGGCTAGATCGAAATGTAGCAGATAATGGATAATTGCCACAATTATCACATTGGTTTATGTTAGCGCCATGATTGGTCAGTTTCTTCACAACTGTCAAATGCCCTGATTGTGAAGCAACATATAGTGGCGACCTACCATATTTATTACATTGATTAATGTCAGCGCCACAATTGATTAGTTTTTCAACAACATTTAGATGCCCTGATTGTGAAGCAACAAATAATGGGAACTCGCCAAATTTAGCACATTGATTGATACAAGCGCCATGACTGATCAGTTTCTCCACAACAGTCAAATGCCCTGATTGTGAAGCAGCAATCAGTGGCGACCTGTTATATTCATTACATTGGTTTATGTCAGCGCCATGATTGATCAGTTTCTCCACAACAGTCAAATGCCCTGATTGTGAAGCAGAAGCTAGTGGCGAGTCGCCGAACATATGGCATTGGTTTATGTTAGCGCCATGACTGATCAGTTTCTCCACAACAGTCAAATTCCCTGATTGTGAAGCAGCAATCAGTGGCGACCTGTTACATTCATTACATTGGTTTATGTCAGCGCCATGATTGATCAGTTTCTCCACAACCGTCAAATGCCCTGATTGTGAAGCAGAAGTCAGTGGCGAGTCGCCGTACACATTGCATTGGTTTATGCTAGCGCCATGATTGATTAGTTTCTCCACAACAGTCAAATGCCCTGATTGTGAAGCAGCAATCAGTGGCGAGTCGCCAAATTCTATACACTGGTTTATGTCAGCACCATGATTGATCAGTTTCTCCACAACAGTCAAATAACCTGATCGTGAAGCAGCAAGCAG